AAATGTGTCGTCCGATCAGTTGACCTGGCTCCTCAAAGCTGCGATGCCACATCTGGCTTTCTTGCCTCTCAAGGTTGCTTGTGCCAGCTTGATTCCTAGGGTTTCTTATGCTTTGCACAACATGCAGTGTCCCTGGTTGAATGTGGCGACCGTTAGGTACTTGTTGCTATGCAAGAGTCTTTAAACCCTGTGGGTCTGTACTGTTCCAGGATTCTTCTGATGTTTTGTATAATTCAATTCTGATGTCATTAATTTTGGGATGCTGCATGCATTTCTCAGGGCCCTTGATGTAATTAACAGTATTCCAAAGTCAGTTTATTCTCTTCCGCTATACCTTTTCATTCAATTGACATCAGGCTTTTGGGTCCTTCATGTTTCCACTGATATCCATAATTTTTTAGTTTCAAGAAACACACTGGCAAGACAGATGGTCTTAATATCTAACTACAAGGAGTTCCTTCGTTTTCAAACTACTTAACTTGTAACATTAATTAGAAAGCACTTGGAGATCCAGTGATTTATATCCTTTAATTCAAATACATCACACTTGTTCATCTGAAAATTACATTCTTTCAGGATCCAATAGAAGGCACTGTTGGCATATCAAAAGACGCCCACTTAGAAGGCATCTGACCCTGTATTACCCATATAGGGAAATTCTGGTTCCCAGTAATATTTATGTTAGTGGCACTGTCTTGTCCTCTGGAAAGCAAAACAGTCATCTTCACAAAATGTGGTACCTGAATAATACTGGTTTCTAGGCAAAGCACTCCAAAGGTCTTGCTGACCCTGTTCACTCATACTGTCAGCTAATAGCTTTTCAGAGGAACTTTCATAATAATGCTTTTTGTTGACAATAACACACCCCGCTTCAAGATAGAGTCCATCTGAGCCTAAATACTTCAGGTTTTTTACAGGAGGCTTAACATGTTGCCTGGGCCACATTAACACATTAAGTTGGCCAGCTCCTTCTGTCCTGTATTTTAATGGCAACAGTAGTAAAGAAAGGAACAGGGAAATTCCACTGAGTTACATTGATAGTTATGATGCTTCAGTTAAGGAAAGCTGCTCCACGACGAAGATTAAAATCAATGTTACTTTTACTAAACCTATCTCATTACTTTGGGGCACTCGCCAAGGATGTCTCCTATCCCCTTTATTGTTTGCCCTGGCGGTGGAGCCGCTTGCCAATGCCATTAGAACACATTTGGACATTGTTGGAATTAAATTGTGCTCAATGGAACACAAACTGTCTCTGTTTGCAGATGACATGATCCTATATGTTACGAATCCCGCCAAGTCTATCCCTATATTACACTGTCTGTTAGAGCGTTTTGGCTTAATTTCAGGTTTGAGAATTAATGACAATAAATCGCAACTACTGCCAATACACTTATCAAAAACAGATGAAGAATATATTAAAAATCCTTTAAATTCCATTGGATAGCTAAACCCTTAACATATCTTGGCATTAAAATTCCTCTTGATCAATTCGAGTTGCTGTCAATTAACCATCAAACAATGCATACTGAGCTGACTAATACAATATATATGTGGAGTAAACTTAATTTAAACTGGACTGAGAAATTTAACCTGATCAAACCTTTCATATTGCCTAAGTTTGTTTTCCTATTTAGAACAATCCCTCTCAATATTCCACCCTCTGTTATAAAACGATGGCAATCCACTTTGACCAAATTTCTGTGGGACAAGAAAAGACCCAGAATAATCTTTTCTATCTTAAGAAGACCCAGGGTACCGGGAGGGTTTGCTTTACCAGATTTAGTAGTATTACAATCGTGCAATATTGTTGTCCATCACAATCAAAATGCTACAATCTTCTAAACAACCTTTGTGGGCGGGCATCTGCAATGATTTGTTATATCCAAACTCCCTAGAAGACTTGATTTGGGCACCTGAAACCCCCTTCTCCAAAATAGGACACACCATAGACTTCTTGCATCCATCTATCCAATGTTGGAAAAGACACACCAAAACTCTATTGCCTAAAATGTCACTGTAATGATTCCTTGTTTTAAGAGTGTGTGTGTCTCTTTAAATGTTTGGTTGGAGTGCAGTGATAGCAGAGTAGAGTGATTGAGCGAGACAAGTGAGGTGTGATTGGAGGATAAGAGAGTGTGGGAGGAGTTTTTTTTTAAGTGAATCTGTGTGGGTGTGTCAGTCAGATATAGAAAAGTCAGTTAGAAAAATCTGTTGGATTTATTCAGTGAGTTCAGTCAGTGAGGGATATTATTGTTCTGTGTGGAATCTTAAAGAGTGCAGTATATATGTCTTCAAAAGTGAAACTAAAGATCTGAAAGAAAGTCAAAAATACCAAGAACTTAGCCAGTGTGGCTGCGTATAGGAAAGAGATTCCTATCAGTGTTGGATCTGAGTGTCAGAAGAAAAAGAAAAGGGAAAAAAGGACTGTGTGTGATACATTTGCCAGACCTATTTACAAGTCCCTTATTCCCAAACAGTTACAGATAACCAGCATCTTATTTTGTTCTCATTTCAATAAATCCTATTTTGTTTAAGTTTATCCCAGAATTCAGTTCAATCCTTCCTCAGGACCACATAGAACTCTGAAAGCCAGACCCTGGGTCGCATTACCAGCAGCAGAAACAGAGGAGGTTTGGAATTCCTTAAATTCCTGGTGGCAGCAGAAACTACCCTGTTTGTGAACCCAAAGTATAAATTTAAAGTGAAAACCAGTCCTCCCAAATAAGAGGACGCCACAGTCACGATATTCGACATTTCTAAACCAAAAATGGGTTTTGCCTGGATCTGATCTTAAATTAGTGAAAAATCTGAGAAATAAAAAAATGTCTCTCATTTTAGATGTTGCCACAAAACAGTGCATGCGAAGTAAGGCCGAACTTGAGAGTATATTAGGTAAACCTGTACCCTGTTTTTTTTTTTTATTTACAAGTGAGTCACTTACTGGATCACCTCAATGTAACTACTTTGTTATCCCAACCTCAAACCAAAATGGAATTATTGATTCGTGATTTTGATAACCAAAATAGGGGTCTCATATCAAAAATCTACTCATTACCAATTAAAAATTAATGTGCTAAAATGTTACCTTATCAGTCTGCTTGGCAGAGAGACTGTGCAGATGCTCTTACTGAGGAGATATGGAATAGGTTTTGGAATTCTACTAGTTTCAATACTAAAACCATAGCAGTGTGTTTTCAAAATTTGAAAATAATGACTAGATGGTATGCAACACCCCAGAGACTCTCTTATATATCACCTACAAAATCCTCACAGTGTTGGAAAGAATGTCACCAAATAGGAGATTTTGCCCATTTCTGGTGGAAATGTGCAAAAATTAAGGATTTTTGGATGGAAGTGCTAAATATCATTCATATTGTTACCTCAGTCAGTATCCCATTCAAGCCAGAGACTTTATTCTTAAATGCTTGGCCACAAGAACGAACAGCTAGGCCACACAAAGATATCATTGAAGTCATGTTGGATGCTGCCAAAACAGCGATCGTATCTTATTGGAAAGATACTAAGGCACCAACTGTGGAGGCATGGTTTCATAAATTATGGAACCACTATCTTATGGATGCAGTCACAAACAAACTAAACTACACATCTCAAAGAACTAGTCAGGATACATTTATTGGAAAATGGTATCTGGTCCTAGATTACTTATCTCAGCAGCAATACATATCCTCTGAATGGTCCCAATTTAAAAAATGGATTTGATGTCTGGATCTTGGATAGACTGTTATTATTCTATGTATAAGCATTTTGTATTTCTCTTTATTTATTTATTTTAACCGTTATTTATTCAATTAATGTATAGGCTAAGTACGCCTCATTCAACCTTCTGTGCTGTAATGTAGCTTATTGACAAGCCTTTCAATGAAGTAGGTATCGTTGAGTACTCAACCAGTTTCATATGGGTTCAGTGCTGATACTGGTTAAACATTGGGTTATAAAAAGTTTTATAAATGCTTGTAATACATATTTGTACTTGTTGAACTCAATAAAAATATAATTATTAAAAAATGAAGGAAAGCTGCTAATGTGTATCTAAATTTTGGTCATGGTTACCTCTTTGTTAACTTTCTTATTTGCATAACAGTCTCCTCTTTATTTACTCTGAGTGCAAATATCTATAATAAAAATGAAAACCTTGTAATCTGGAGCCTATAAAGTATCAGACAGAAATAATTAGGAGGAGAAAGCACTCTATCATTTCCATAAAATGTTAACATTTGTGTGTTAGCCAGTGGGGTCGTGGATCTCATAGAGATCTTTCATTGCTAGCTCTTACCTGAAATTTGGCATCACGTAATATGCAGTGATTACGGTCTTCCCTAAAAAGAATACTTTTTTCTTTTTTGCTTAATTCTTGAAAGAACTATTTGTTCAGCTTTTATATAATGCTTTCCAATTTTTGTCTCATGTGTCACATATAGTACCGCATGCTGTTTTCAGTTTAATTTCCTTTATCACAGGAAGCCTGCTGTGTAGGACTCGAGGCCGCCATAAATAAGACAGATCATTTGATCACTGCCTACCGGGCTCATGGCTTTACATATACGCGTGGCATTGCAGTTCGTGAAATCCTTGCTGAGCTCACAGGTATGTCTTCAGTAACATTGTCAATGAATAGACCTAGGAGACTAAGGTTTAAATCTGGAAACCGTCTAACTTTCCTAGGAAGGTGTTGCAGAATTTGCAACTTTATGGCCTGTTTTGCAAGACATGTATGTACAACCTGTGGTTGTTTTACATTTGAATTACTGTGTCACCATAGTTTTAAATATTTCCATTGCCGTGTCTGCCTGTGAAGCTGCAACACTGGCCATGTTTTATGCTGCTGGCCTTATGTACCTTATGTTCATGGTAACCTCAAGGCCAGATGACTGTACCTTACATGGGCCTGCTCCTGAAGTTACCTTGGAAACTTTAGCTGGTGTTCAGTGGGTACACAGAATGTTGCTGTTTGGTTGCTATTGGGAACTGGGTGGAATGTGCGTAGTGTTCTACATTGGCAACTGATTCCCAGATTCAACTCAGTGTGCTCGTTATTACTTGCAAAGGCCGTTGTGGTACTGCTGCAGCAGTTTGCATCAGTCTCCTGAAGACGCCATCCTGCAAATGGGAAAGGTAAACAGCCACCTGCACCCAAGAGTTCTCTGTTGTGGCTCCCCGTTTGTGGAATGGCTCGTCTGAGGTGGTCTGGAAGGCTCCCCCACTCGTATTGTTCCACACATTGTGTAAAATTGAATTGTCCTGGAGAGCATTTTTATAAAGGGAATAGTGTTGTCATGTATTGCGGTGTCGTATGTATTTTCTTGGCTGTACAGCATTTTCTTCTAATCTTAAGAACTGGTCAACAAGGTAAGGGCAAGTATGCGGAGGAAGGCCTTGTCCTGCCCACTTTTGATTTCTGTGGTCTTCAGATTAGATTAAAATGTCACTTTCTTTTAAAACCATTTTAGGCCGTAAAGGTGGATGTGCAAAAGGCAAAGGAGGCTCTATGCATATGTATGCCAAAAACTTCTATGGTGGTAATGGAATTGTTGGTGCCCAGGTAAAGTACATGAACATAAATACAGTCTGTTGGGCAGGGAGGGAGGGTTAGCCTCAGCCAAAATCCAGTTCAGAATCAGTGCACATAAACACAGTTACTTCAGGGGGCTTTAGCACGCCAAATTTGGGCTGAGTGGCTAAGTTTATTTATTATTTATTTATTTATTTATTAGGCTTATATCCCGTCCTCCCACATGGGCTCAGGGCGGCTAACAAGAGGCAATTGCCATACATAACACTAAAACCAGATAAAACTATCAGTTCCATTTACATTTACATTTAAAATCAGTGCTCGTAACAATATGTTTGGGCTCTGCTCCTTTAGTGTTTCTGGCAGTCAAATGCTCTTACCACTAGTTCTTAGTTCTGCTTACAGTTTTACTGTATACAGTTTATGATGTACTCTTAATAATCTGTAAAGATCTCTAAAAAAGCAAAAGTCAAATGTTATATACTTAGTAATATTAAATAATTTCTTTTAACATTCTTTTTCATTGTCAGTAACAGGCATTGGTCAGCAGTTACTATTTTTTAAATAGACTTTTTTTGTTTGCCCAGATCTGAGTCTTGAAATTCATTTCAGGTTCCTTTGGGAGCTGGCATTGCCTTGGCATGCAAGTATTTTGGCAAAGATGAAGTCTGTCTTACTTTATATGGAGATGGTGCTGCCAATCAGGTAAATGTTCAGTTAGAGATGACGCTTAACTAGAGCCCCATAACTTGGAAGGAAAAAAGTTACTGTTCATACTACGCTTTGATGTGAGCAGCCATAAAGGATGGTTCAGACTTCAGTCCCTGGGAAAAGGCCCTTAAAAGGTTTCTGGGGAAAGCTTTCTGTACTGGACATTCACTGCCAGTCAGACTAGACGATACAAACTGGATGGCCATGCAGCTTCATAATCACCCCATACACAGAGATGGTGTACCTAGGGCACACCAGTTGCTGGGGGAGGGCAGCACAGCAGGAGGGTGCTGTTACCTTGATACCATGCTGATAGACTTCCCAGAGACATCTGGGTGGCCATTGTGGAAAACAGGCTGTTGGATTTAGATGGACCTTTGGTGTGACCCTATTGGACATCCATCACAACTTGGCCTTTTGGCTAAGATCCAGTGTAGTATGTAGTGGATGTCTTACACTGATTAATTTTTTTAAATGTAATCCACATTGAGTTTGAGTGAAAGGTGGACTCTACATGAAGCAAATACATAAGTGTTCTTATTCTTGTGAGAAGGAGCCACATAATTCATGCATACGTTACAATAGGATAGTGGAAAGAAATGCCAGGGAAGCACCTTCTGTGTACACCTGGAAGATTTGTTTCACCAGTGACAAGACTGTAAATACTGTCCATTTTAAAAAGATAGATACAAGTCCTATATATTAAAGCTGTAGCATCTCTTTGACATCATCTGCCATAGTACCAAATGAAGATTAAATAGGATATGGTTGTTTAGGCCAAGCTTCCTTATTGCTGTTTCCATGATAGAAGCAGCAACTGGGATACTGAGGACCAAACTAAATATTTATAGTAGGGGAATGTGGCCCTTTCATTGCTATGGGAAGACCAGCAGACAGAAGGGATGAGTTGATCCGTGCCACTGAGCAGAGTGGAGGTGCTGAATGCATTGGGGTTTCTTTCATCTAAGAAAACATATATTTAATGAGGAGAGGTGAAGGGAGCATGGGGTCAGCCCAGGTAGCTTTTGGGAGGTAAAGATATGGGCAGGCATAGGTAATTGGCTTCATGTTCTGGAATGGAGAAAAGCTGTTGTGCTTTCCCCAACCAACCTGAGAAGAATGAAGTCATTTCCATTCATGTCTACTAACCTGTATATGTAACCTATCACTAAATCCAGCTGCTGTACCAGAAGACTGGAGAGCAGTGTTCCCTCTAAGCTGAGTTAGTGTGCGCTAGCTCACAGTTTTCCAGCCTCCAGCTCACACATTTTAGTCTTAGCTCAGGGAGGATGGCTCCAGAACAAACTAATTTATGCAGTAGCCAAATCACTTGCTCACCGCTTTAATGCCAATAGCTCACAAAGTAGAATTTTTGCTCACAAGACTCCACAGGTCAGAGGGAACATTGCTGGAGAGTAGCAAATGTTACACCAATTTTTTAAAAGGAGTACAGAGGGGAATCAGGAAGTTACAGGCCAATCAGTCGAACGTCTGTCCCAGGCAAATTAGTAGAAACAGTAATCAAAGATAGAATTATTAGGCACATAGAGGAACAAATCGGCATGGCTCCTGCAATGGGAAGTCCTACCTCTTTGGTGTTCTGCCTTTTGGTGTTCTCTGAGAAAGTGAACAAGCATATAGACAACAGTGACACTGTAGACATATACCTGGACTTTCAAAAGTCTTTTGACAAGGTACCTCACAAAAGACTCCTGAGTGACTTTAGCAGTCATGGGACGAGTTCTCTTATGGATTAAAAACTGGTTAAATGACAGGAAGAAAAAAGTAGGAATCAATGGACAGTTCTCACAGTGGAGGGAAGTAAGCAGTTGGGGTCCCACAAGGATTGGTAATGGGACCAGTAGTATTTAATTTATTCATAAATGATCTGGAACTAGAGGTGAGTGGTATAGGGCCAAGTTTGCAGATGACACCAAATTATTCAGGATGGTGAAAACCAAGGCTGACACTGAAGAGCTCCAAGAGGACCTCCACACTCGGTAAGTGGGTAACAGTGTGGCAAATGAAGTTCAGTGTTGGTAAGTGGAAGGTGGTGCACATTGGGTCAAGAAATCCCAACTTCAAGTATAGGCTGAACTTACTGAGACAGAGGGAAAAAGGATCTTGGGGTCATAGTGGGTAGCTCAATGAAAGTGTCAACCCAGTGTGCTGCAGCAGTGAAAATGGCAAACTCTGTGTTAGGGATTATTAGGAAAGAGAGTGACAATAAAACGGCTGATATAATGCCCCTGTATAGAGCTATGGTGTGGCCTTTTTTGGAATAGTGTGTACAGTTCTGGTCACTATATCTCAAAAAAGACATTGCAGAGCTAGAAAAAGATTTTCTTATTCCAGAAGGCTCTTAATGGTTCTTTGCTTTTTTATTTGAGATTGTCATAATTGTGCTGCTGGGTGTTTTTATCCTTTCTTCAAAGAATCAGAGCAGCTAGAAATCAATAATAATGTAGATAAAAATACATAGAAAAACATACCAAGGTTAAAGAAAAGTATCTTTTGCCTATTTTAATTGTTTAATTTGTTTATATAGATCATTCCTTACTGGTTCCTAAAGTGTTACTAAGTTGGTTTTTACTCCTGTTAAATTGCTGTTTTTTTAGCATTTTAGATTTCTGCGGGCTGTTCTTTTTAGATTATATTGGGCTATTGCTTTTAGATGTGCGGTATTGTGTTAGTGTAATGATACTAAACCACCTTGAGAATTACCTGTAATAGAAAGATTGGATATAAATATTCTGTCCAAATACCACTGCTGTCCTAAGTAGAGTCATACCCTTCTAAGTCTCTTGAAGTCCAGTGGGCCCAGCAGAGTGTAACTCTGCTTTGACAGAGTTCTTTCCCTGAAATCAGCTAGGCTGTCTTTGCTAAGAGAAAAATTCTGAAGGCATGCGGGTCGGATAATTAGGTGAGGGAAATGAAGAGAGAATTAAAAAATATACCAGATCTTTTCTTCTTCCAGGGTCAGATATTTGAAACGTTTAACATGGCAGCCTTGTGGAAGCTGCCATGCATTTTTATCTGCGAGAACAACCGATATGGAATGGGTACGTCGGTAGAAAGAGCTGCAGCCAGTACAGACTACTACAAAAGGGGAGACTTCATTCCGGGACTTAGAGTAAGAACAGTCTTACTATTCTCTATGTTTAAAAGAGGACTAGAGAGACAGTGGATTGGAATGACTGGTAACGGGACCTGTATTATTCAATTTCTGTCTTAATAGTAATTTTGATCGTTCGTTTTTCAACAGGTTGATGGTATGGATATTCTTGCTGTAAGGGAAGCAACGAAATTTGCTGCTGACCATTGCAGATCAGGGAAGGTATGTTGAGTTTAATTGCACATTTATAGTGTTTACATGGTTTGTCTTGTGGAAATGTAGCTTGGGTATAGCTAGAGTTCTGAACTTAAAAAAATTATTCTTGCATTTCCAACATACGTATCTAGCCAAAAGTACAAAGGTCACGTTGTGCTTTCCCTCTTAGTTTCCTGCTCCAGAGTTACTCTAGATCCAGTTTCCAGTATGGGATATTTCTTCAGCTTGATTCTGTAACATAATGTAGTGGTACAACTGAAAGGGTGATCCAAAATATGTGGACCTCTGAAGCAGAGCCCTTATTAGCAATGTTTACTCTACGCTGTGGAATCTTGTGAGCAAAAATTCTACTTTTTGAGCTACTGGCATTAAAGTTGTGAGTGAGTGATTTGGCTCCTGCACAAATTAGTTTGCTCTGGAGCCTTCCTTCCTGAGCGAAGGCAAAAATGTGTGAGCTGGAGGCTAAAAAACTGTGAGCTGGCTCACACTAACTCAGCTTAGAGGGAACACTGCTTGTTAGTATAGTAGTCTAACAATAATAATTTTGTAATATATGTCCTAAAGTGCTGATTTGCAATTAACTAGTTTTGATTAGATGGCATTATATTTATTGAAATATCACAAAATGTCATTGTTTTCAAAGCTGTTATAATTTTTTTTAGGGCCCTATGGTGATGGAGCTACAGACTTATCGTTATCATGGACATAGTATGAGTGATCCTGGAATCAGGTACAACAGTCTTTTTTTAAGTTGTAGGAGAAAACGTCTTTTTTCTCCTTGTGCATATCTGTGTATCAGAAAAACAGTTGAATTTTCAGATAGGCCTTTAGCATTCTACAGGAATCTTTTTCTGAGAACCAGACTTCTGAATTACTTTCCTTACATCTTAAAAGCCTACAAGTAAGATGTAAAAGAATCAGTTTTATTGGGAATACAGTGGTATTCAATAGTAAAAAAGGATTTTTATACATATAGCTTACCACATGTAGAGAGCCAGCACATGAATGTATAATTGGCCCTTTGTATCTAGGCTTACTAGTTACTTTAAATTATTGAATGAAATTTATTAACAGTAGAACTCAACAGTTTAAAACAATACAAGCAATATGCATCCACAAACAGCAGCAAATAGGGGCAGTTAGTTTTGGAACCAGCACATAACAACTTGTGTGCTAGAGCACTGTGACATGAAATAAAATGTAAATACTCCCCTAAGTCACAAATACACAGAGGAGGATGTTCACCACATGAGTCACTGCCCAAGCTGTCCCTGCTTCCAGTTATGTTTGCTTGTTTCTGCATCAAGTGTGATGGGATGAAATCCATCTCAGTGCAGAGGTGCAGCAGGTTTTCCTGCTGTCAGGGAAGGCATGCCCAGGACACTGACTCTAGCTGAGACACAGGATAGGAGTTTACTCCTTGTGGATCCCTAGTTCTTTTAGGATATAAGAGTGATGTGGGCCTTCAGTTTTAATTCTGGGGAAATGTATTTTTCAGATATCTGGTGTGGGAAATAGTTCTTCTATATGACTTTTTAGTAGACAGTAGAGTATATGGCGTATATGAGCTGTTATTCTTCAGTGGGCAAATGGATACAGAAGAGCTGAAAGCTACTTTTGCATCTGTTACTCAGGCATGGTTGTTATATATATATATAAACCAGAAATGATCAGACATGAAAAGAGGCAGTGTGGTGGTTAGTATTTGACTGGGGTGAAGCTGGTTCAAATCCCTACTCAGGTAAGGCACCATGTAACTGTGGCTCTCTCTCTTAGCATAATCTCCACAGGATTATTGTAATGATAAAGAATTGTGCTTGCAGCTTTTGAGCTCCATGGAATGGCAACATCTAGGTAGCTATCTGTGAGCACCTGTCCTCTTGTGAAGTAGTTCTTTCAAACAATTTGGTAGTCTGCTAAGGTGTCACCCGCTTCCTTTTTTACAGTTACCGTACAAGAGAAGAAATCCAAGAAGTGAGAAGCAAAAGTGATCCCATTACACTCCTGAAGGACAGAATGGTGAACAACAACTTAGCTAATGTGGAAGAGTTAAAGGTAATACACCTTCATTCCAAATTCCATGGTAACAAATAATATACAGTATGTATTCAGATACAAGACTAGGTTTTTCCCCAGGTGTGTTATAAAAAGGGGGACCCCATAATGTTAGAGTTAAGTCAAGCATTTTTTTTCCCTGGTGTGTATGACATTTTTAACAGGGTCATCGTCCTTTCAAATAGATATGTATAATTTACCATTGCACTGCCCAATGGAGGACAGTGTCCTATTTTGGGACCCACTATATTTGTCATTTTTCTGTGGAGCCCAGGAGAGTGGCATACGTTGGGGTTATTGCACGTTGTCCTTGCTACAGCTTCATCAGCCAGTGTGCTGTAGTGATTAGAGTTAGAATTTGCACACAGATATTTTTTGCTCTGAATGTATATCCCTCCCAATACCTTATTGGTATTTTTGGGATCTATTCAGGTGTCCAGAACAATATTTGGTTTTTCCGGAACACTGATAAGTGGTGCCCCGAAAAATGCCAAAAATATTCAGGACTGACATTTTCTGCTTCCCAGGCCTGTTTTTCTTCAATTTCACAGGATTCCTGGGCAGTGAGAGATAGGCAGTTTCCCCAGGCAATGGGATCAGACGTTATAGGAAGCACTAAAACTGTCTAATAATGACAAATGGATTTTTTTGGTTTGACAATGGTCCTTTTTGGTGTTCCACTGGCCTTCGGTTTTGATTGGCTTCTTGGGGGCTTGCAACAATGTCCTTTGTTTATGTTCGGCTTGGATTCTCTAGATCGACATTGGTTGTGCTGGGCTTGCGGCATTGGCCTGTGGTTCTACTGGGAAGATTTGGTTTGAAGTTGGGTTTGTTGGTTCTATTTGCATTTGGAGGGTTTTGGCCAGTGGTTGCTCTTCCGTGTTTGCCTTATGACTTCTTTGCCCTGGAGAAAGCCAGTATGCCGCCCCCCCCGAAAATACTGGAGACTAGTAGGATTATTGAAGACAGGTTGATCCAATTTGCCTGACTCTTGAGGGGTCTTTAGTGGACAGGCAGGACTGGGCTCCCTGCAAGTTTGGTGTCCTTTGGTTGAAAAACAGCAATTCCAGCCCTCTGAGAGTATCTGAGAGACCCAGGTTCAAATCCCCACTCTACCGTGAAAGTTTGTTGGGTGACTTCAAGCCAACCAAACACTCTTAGCCTCGCCTACCTTACAAGATTGTGGCTAGGATAAAATGGAGGAGGGAAAAATTGTGTTGTTAGCCAGTTAGGGGTCCCCCCACTGAGGAGAAGAGTGGGGTATAAACATTTGTCTATCTTGAATATGGGATCCACACACTGAAAACGAAAGCTGTAGCCAGTTTAGGAGCAGTTAAGGCAGCCATTGCTTTTCTTTACACATGAATTTCAAATGTTGTAATGTCACTCTTTTGAATGGGTAACACACTTACTTGTGAGCTCATATCTCTTTTTTGGTATGGTATGGTATGGTATGGTATGGTATGGTATGGTATGGTATGGTATGGTATGGTATGGTATGGTATGGTATGGTATGGTGACCCATCCAAGGCTTGCCGGAGTTTTTTGGTGCCCTGGGCAAACTATGACTTTGCCACCCATCTGGTTCAGTATCCATTTTCTACAGTGGCAAACCAGATGTTGCCCCCATTAAGAACCCCAAGCCAGTGGCACTCCAACATACACAGCCTGTGCATATGGAGGTTACATTCCACTCATTGACCACCATCTCCTTTTCTGTTACTCTCTTTAATTCCACGTAAGATTCTCACTCCCACTAGGGACCATGAGGACACATTTTACTTGACCAACATGTACTTGCAGTGAAGAACACCCCCCCCCCCAACTGATGTATTACATGTTTCCAGGGTCAGATCTTGGTTTCCAAGATACAAAAGAGAGCAATGGAAAGGCAGGAGTGGCCATCAGGGAGGGCTGGCATGCGACCCACTTTCAGAACCTTTGCAACCCACTTTTGGGTCCCAACCCACAAACTGGGAAACGCTGCTCTAAGCTGTACAGAAATATAGATCTGTCTACTCTGATTTGTAGTATGATGTGCTAACATGTTTTATTATACTGGAAACAGCTTGTACATAATCTTGTTTCCGAAATGTACACACATCTGCTGTAGTTGCTGGTTGGTCATAATCAAAATATAGGACAAAGTGTTCATGCATACATAGATATCAGAATTGCTCATATAAGGTCAGGATTTCATTTCAGAAAGGACAAAATACCCTCTGAAGGACCTTTACCAACTTTGGAAATCTATATGCAGTGGACTTTATGTGGTTTGAAGTTTCTATATTTGCTTGATTAGAGCCCAGATACTTCCATTAACACATGGATTAAGTATCTGTCTGGATACAGAGGGGAGTGGAAAGTTTGTTGTGCTTTTGCTGACATTTTCTCTTCTCTCATGTAGGAGATTGATGTGGAAGTAAGGAAGCACATTGAAGATGCAGCACAGTTTGCCACAACTGATCCAGAACCATCCCTTGAAGAACTAGGCAATTGCATTTATAGTAATGAGCCTCCCTTTGAGGTGCGTGGCCCAAATCAGTGGACCCGGTACAAGTCTGTTGGCTAATATGAAAGTTATAACTCCAGCACTAAGTTTAAAGGTTGGCTGTTGTACTGGGCCTTAATTCCTTGCCTCTGTTCTGTGGAATAGGAACAACATTATTGCTCAAAAGTGGATTTGGCAGCAAAATAAACATTGCATTGAGGGGAAGAGATAACATGGTGTCTTGAGAGACTGAGCTGCTTGGCAAAAGAACTGTATCAAGCTGTGTTTATTAATGTGTATACAAGCTTAGTCATGGTCTGTATTGCTTTACTTATCAAAAGAGGAAGAAATCTTTATGTAAAATAAAATAACCAGTATATTAAAGCCTCCTGAACAGATAGTTTTGGTGTGCTTTCTGACCCTCCTCAAAGACTATAAAGTGAGTTTCAGTGGAGTGAAACATCTTTGGAACAACCCACTGCGTCTATTTTGAATTTTAATCCTGCACACCTTTCCAGTGCCTTTGCAATTTATTATTTAAACTGAAATCCTCCTTTAGGATCCCTACAAAATGTTCAGGAAGTCTGAAAGTTTTGACTAATGCCTTTTTTCACTTATAAAATGTACACACAATACAAAGTGGTAGAGTGGTAAAACAATTGTGAAAAGCAGCGAGAATGGAAACAACTTATATTTAAATACAAATAGTTAAAAAGTGCACATGTCAAGATTTTAAAAATTTATATTAAAGCAAGCAGGTTTCCAGTGACTGCAATCTATACATTTGAAAATGTACAAGATTTCAAATATTGATGTGTACTACTACAATGAAATGTAGCTAGCTCTCACCAGAAATCACAAAACAGCCTATTACGCAAGGATTGTCTTCCCCCTTAATGAAACACTTCCAAAGGCTCAACGGCCGCGCTGGAGTAGTATATATACAGAGTACATACACAAATTAATAACTTAGTTGGAATGTTTGCTCAGTTTGTTTCACAGACCCAGCAGCAGCATACAGTATAACTATGATGATGTGCTTAACCGTCCATTTCAAACTGTTTATTATTCAGTTTTCTGTGTTTTAATATTGCATTCCAAATTCTGCAGAGAAGGCCACCTCTGTATTGAAAAAATAATACTGTGAGGCTTTCCAGATTTCAAAACAAAAAACACAATGAAAAGCATTTCTATAGCTATTGAATCCTTTTTTTACCTGAGTCTAAGTGATCGCAGATCATCTTTAGTGATGATGTTGAGAATATCATCAAGCGTGTAATCCTCCTGCACAAACTGAAAAATAAATTTTGGTATGTTCGGCCTTATTCAGATTATGACTGCTGTTGAGAAAATGTGAACTTTGCTTCTTATTTAATGTTACCCTGTCAATTGCATCTGAGTCTGCTCTTTGTTGTGTCAGCCACTTGACGAGGTCTTGGTCTACATTGTGCTCAAGTGTGGGTGAAGACAGCTGGCTTTCTGAAACAATCCAAGATGTGTATTAACCAGTTTCATTACCATGACTGTCTGAAAGCTTAATAAAAATGTTCAAATCATACTTCTATTAACATCACCTCACATCAAGATAAACTTTCTCATACCTACCAGTAGTTTTCAACTTTAACTGAAGGAGGCACAAATCCTGCGTTTTTTGTTCCAACATTTGCTGTAAAAGCATCTGATATTCTCTCTCTCTTTGCAGCAGGCTCTCCATCAGCCTGTTAAATACGATATGGACTAGAGTCAGGTCTAACATAAGACACTTGACATAACAGGAAGAGTTAGCAAAGTGGTATGTCTTATTTTCCTACTTCTTTCTTTTAAAACCTCTAAGAAGCCTACCAGCTTTTATTCTGAAAAACAGGTGTACATGTGATAAATTTAAATATACGTGGTTACGGTGAAAGCTGCAGGCACAGGATCCCTTCAAGGAATAACTGGAAAGCTATCTATGCAGTTACAGTATGTCCCTGTGTAAATGAAGAGCAGTGATGGGGGCTGTGTATGCAGCTGCTGGATTCTTCAGCCTCTGACCTGCTTAACACTGGATCCCTCCTATAGATTTGTTACGGTGACTAAACAGTTCTCCCCTCTCAATATTTCCCCCACATCAGCAGCCTACATGAACACTTAGGGAAAACTGATCCAGGCTCCATGGGTGCACACTTTTGGGAAGTGCCCCCTGTGTATGCTAAAGTTTCCCAGTATCTTCTAGATACGGACACGAGGGGAAATTTTCAATGTCCTGGATATGCTCTGTTACAGAGAAAATTAAGCCAAGGATTAAAGTCCTCGAATGTGATGTAATCCTAGTATCCCATTAGAACATCTAATGCTTATATTCCTGTGCTGAGATACTAGAACTATTGTCGAAGTTGCATTAGAGAATCACTCTGGATGGGTTCTTAAGGAGTGCAAGTGCCCCTCAAGCGTAGCAGTAACTGATTGGGTCTTGCCTTTGATGAGCAGGGAAAGAACTAAAATTATTGTAATATCATGAATCAAGTTAAATGAGACTAGTTATTCATATAGGTGACCAGCTATGTGGCTAAATGAGAAAGCGAAGGACCATCCAGGGGAGCCCTTACCTGTTTGTTTCTTGCTTGAGCTTGCCTAATTGAAAGTTAAGCTGCTGTTGACTGTCAGGGCACACTGAAGAAGGGAGCGTGCCCATTCCAGAGGGGTTAAGTGGTTCCTCATGTCGCTTTTGCTCTGCTGGATGGTAATCTTCATCCACTTCATCTGCATCTTTGTCTACTCCTTCAGTCTCTGATGTCGGCTCAAAATGAGCTCGAAGTTCTACACAAACAAAAGAGAGTCCTAACAGTTGAGTATTCCTTCCTTTCTCTGCCACCAACTATTCTATTTCATGGTAACTCATGTCAGTTCAGGTTTTAAAATGTAAGGTGAAAACTTACTTACTTAAAGCAGCTAAAGCAAAAGCTTTAAAGACGTCCCCCAAATGTACCACTGGGGATATATGCACATTTCTTTCTGATATCCATAGTTTTACAGGATAACAGTTATGGACACGAAATGTAGTAGTAAAGTCAATCTAGATGTGCTTTGTGGTTCCAGCCACATAATGGTTAGAAAATACAAACATGCTACATTCCACAGGAACAATCAAACTGAATAAGTCATCTTCAGCATAACAGAGTTTAAGTACTACTAGCTGTTGAAACACAAGTAGGTTAAGACCATCTCATAGGTGGAGTAAACTCTACACAGGTGTCAGGATCGGACCCTTGACCTGGGAATTGATTGCCTCTGTACCATGATTAATTACTGTATCTTGCTGCCCTGCATTGCTAATGCCCACGTTTGCTTTTGTAACCCCCGCCCGCTTCACACATCTGCTAGTTTTGCTTATTACCTTATCTGTCCTCCCTGACATTCCTAAGGGGGGTGAGTATGAGAATGATTGTATGGTGTTGAGTAGAGGCGCTGTTTGTAACTTTTCCGAAGCTACCCCCGCATGGTTCTCAGGTCTATCTGTGGCCTTGGGAGACAAGAGTCTTAAGATGCAACTAGTTGGGTCGTATATTCTCTCATGACCTGTAGTAGCCTGAATGGGTGTGACGTATGTCTGTTGGGCGGAACCCGTTTCCCACTATCCTCCCTTGGGCTATTGATCGTTAGTTCTGGCAAAGGTTTTCACCTGACCAGAAGCCATATCTTACCAATAAACCTGATCAAGGACTATTGTGTACAGAGTAGTTACTCCAGGACCTGACAATAGGATTGCACTGTCAGAATTCCATTTATGCATGAGAGCAGCACACTTTTTACAGAAATACATGTGTTAAAACCCCTACATAGTTTCAAATTTAAGCTAACAGGCCAACCAACCTACAGAGCTACCAAATATCAACTTGTGTAAGATTAGTTTACTAGCAATAGAGCATGACTGTTCCAGATCAGTAAATGCCACCTAGCACTGATAAGTTGAAATAATGTTTTTCAAAATTCCAGAGTTTGTTTTGGATAATGAGTATACTTGTTACTTTTTACAGTTTTCTGAGGTAGACTTTAACAATAAATGATAGCAGGCTAACCAAACTTCAGACTGGTATGGACTTAAAGTAGCTATAACATCCAACCCCTCCCCTTTCTACCCAGCTAAGCACAGCCTTCAAAACAACATTTAAAGTTTCTGATCTCTAAGCCAAACTTTTTTCTCCATTAGCTCTGAAAGCATAATTCACTTGTCAATAAAAGGTTTATGTTCAATGTGTAAGAACACAGAATTCACCCTCGTTGTACTGTTTGGGCAACTCCTTTCAAACCAGGGGTCCCCCACCTTCTTGAGCCTGGGGGCACCTTTGGAATACCAAAAGAATGTGGTGGGTACAGTCACAAAATGGCTGCCCCAGGAGGTGGAGCCAGCCACAAAATGGCTGCTGCGTGTTACCTTCTGTCGATGAAGATGCTTGTGCTGTGCTGGCAGCTGCTGCCAAAGTAAACATTTTTTAAAAGCTGCACAGTCAGTCAAATCTCCAATGGCCAATCAGGAGCCCTGCTAGGCAAAAGCTCCACTTGGCTCCCTTCTACTTTCTAAAAACGCTTGGTGGGCATCATGGCACCTACAGGCACCATGTTGGGGACCTGTCTCAAAGTAACTAATTTTCTTGTGCTCTGCATCAAGCATAATTTGACGATCTCACCCCAACAGAATCCCCACTCCCAACAGATAGTAAAAGGAAGGAAGAGTGGGGCAACAAGTCATGTAAGAATTCAGCACAGCTTCCTCATGGCCAAGCGTATAAATTATTCTGTTAGCATAGCACAGGGGTCCCAACGTGGTTCCCATGGGTACCATGTTGTCTACCAGCACCTTTTGTGGTGCCCACCACGGGTTTTTAGAAAGTGGGCACGGCCAGATGGGACTTTTGCCCAGCAAAGCATCTAATTGGCCTTCAGAAATCTGACAGGCTATGCAGACTTTTAGAAACATTGCTTTGACAACCGCTGCCACCACAGCACAAGCAATTTCACCGTGTTACTGAAAGTAAACGGCAGTCATTTTGTGGCTGGCGCTGCCTCCTGTGGTAGCACCGAATATGCAGTGTCTTAATTGCAAAGGAGCCCACAGGATTTTGTCTTTTAGTTTGTCACAACCATTTGTCATTTCCTGCCGAGCCCAGCAAGCCCTGCCCCCAGCGGCAAGTTAAGTTGGTGGGGCTTCTACGCGCTTTCCCCCACCCGCCTGCCAATGCGGATGGGCAGGGAAAGGCCTTCAGAGGCCCCCCCCCCATGCCTTTCCTCGCCAGCCCACCAATGCAGACGGGCAGGGGAAAGCCTGCAGAGGCCCCCCCTGTGCTTTTCCTGGCTCTGTGTGTGTCTGCCCCTCTGTGTCTGTCTCTCTGCCCCATCTGTGTGTGTGTGTCTGTGTCTGTGTGTCTCTCTCTGCCCCTTCTCTCTCTGTGTGTGTATCTCTCTGCCCCTCTGTTTCTCTCTGCCATTCTGTGTGTTTGTGTGTCTCTGTTTGTCTCTCTCTGCCCCTCTGTGTGTGAGTGTGTGTCTGTGTCTCTCTGCCCCTCTGTGTGTGCTTCTTATGTGTGACAGAGTGTTGGGCTGGAGGGGCCACTGGCCTGATCCAACATTGGCTTCTCTTATGTTCTAATCTCAATAGACAACTCTAGCAATGGAGCTGAAGATCAGCGTAGCATTGCTACAAATTTTACCACGAACATTTCTGACAGTCAGTTTTATCAAGTGTATAGGTGTTGATCAGATGTAAGCTGATCACCCATCCTGTTTGGTTTCCGTCCAACAGCTGCAAATACCTTCTAAACAGGTCTATATCGGGTTTTTGCAAAACTGCACACATACAAAGATCGGCCAATTCAAATTGATTGGCAGCCATTAGCATTACTAGGGACTACTCAGATGAATATCCAGGTGTAGGCATTTTATTAAAACACAGCATTTATTTATAACAGATTTTTAAAATGATTTGTGCCTGCTGAGCAGAGCAGTTGCACAGTAAGGATGGGATGGCAAGGAGGGGAGGGGTGGGGGTAGAACTCAGGCTGTGAGAATGTGCATGCATGAAAAATCAGTTGCGCATTGTATGGCATGGTTGGAAAGGAATACAACAAATCAACCTGTTGAACAGTTGTGAACAGACAAACCTATCAATAAAAAATCAGCTCCTTGTTTGCAATTGGTGAACAGGATGTCGACCAAACCGGCAGCTGTTCAAGCATTCCTACATAAGAGTAGGGATGAGCCAATACAATGTATGTATCTAGCCTTCTGACACACTTCTGGTGATGTCAGGGGGTGTGGCATATGCTAATGAGTTATGCTAATGAGCTCCTGCACCTCTTTTTCTACGAAATGACCTCTGGTCACAACACTGGTATGTACATTCTTGCCATGTTTTCCTAGGGCCTTAGTAATCTTATCAGTGCTTTGCTTTGACTTACCTGGAATAAGAATAGTGACAGCAGCTTGAACGGCACGTCGTATTATATTATCCATAGCAAACATCCAATGGGGCCTGATTAAATGGTTTCTTAGTACTTTGTTCACCTGGAAAGAAATGGCCAAATAAAATAGTTGAGCCTTAAGCCCTTCATGACCTGCGGCGCCCCCATACTCGAAGGACCATTTCTCCTGCTATAAACTTGTGTGGCAAGTGTGTTCCTCACAGCTGGATCTCCTAGCTCTCAAGGACACAACCTCTTATGGCCCAGGCTTTTTCTGTTGCCACCTTGCTGCTATAGAATAGCCTTTCAGAAGGGGTAGGGCAGGTACCTAAACTTGTATTCCTGTGAGACTGTAAGACAGAACTGTTTATATATATATATATACACACACACACACGTGTGTGTGTGTGTGTCTACCTGGAAGTCATGGCAACCTCTAGTGACTGACCTCCTACTGCAGGCCTGGAGGATATTCAGAGAGGTGGCCTGCCCTCGCTTCTGGTATTTCAAGGAGGTCTCTCATCCAAGTACTTGCCAGAGTTGACCCTGCTTACCTTCCAAGATCTGATGAGACTGGGCTTGCCTGGGCTATCTAAGTCAGGGAAGGCAGAGCTATTTAAAAGAGCGTTTGGCACAGCTTCTGGCTTACCTGTTTTAATTACCTGGCTTTAATAATGTGTGTTACTGATTCTAACAGATTTATTATTTTTGTACTCTTTCTACTGTTGTCACCTGCCTTGGGGCCTCACTCTGTTGGAGGAAAGACAGGATATATAAATATTCTAAACAAATAACAAAATATATCAGAAGTCCAGAATTAGAAGTAGTTACGCTGGACATGCCATTTTAAATTATACTTAGTGTTTATATAGTTTTTTTCACAAACATTAGTGTCTTCTTTTCAGTTCAGTTAACCTTTATTGGCATAAAAATACCTTAAAAGAGGATTACTATAAAAGAAATATACATTAATTAGTGTCTTGTAATCCTTACAACAGATCTGTAAGGCCTGTATTATCCCCATATTGCAGATGGGGAGAGGGAGGGAGGAGTCTTGTGAAACTGTGGCTCCCTTAAGGTTACTTACTGGGTTTGTGGCTGAAATGAAACTCAGGCAGGGGACCTCCCACATCATAGATCATTATCTTACAGTGCATTCCTAAGGAGAGTCCTAACCTAAATTTACTGACTTCAGTTGACTTAGAGGGCCGCAACTTTGCTTAGGATTACACAGCCACTCTTGTACACCAGTTTTCAAATGGCAGTTCATGTACACTAAGCAGAAATTGTCTAAAATACAAGGCCAAAGACTCTCTGCCTCCCAGTACCAATATTCAAAAGTTTGCAGCTCCAGATATGGAGGTTCCCTTCAGGCACCAGGAATCTAACCCCTTTTAAAGCTATCTGTGCTCATGGCCCACAGCCTGGTGTACTTAGGGATGGGGCGATTCAGAAATTGAATAAACAACAACAGCAATAATAACAACAACCTCAAGATCTATTTCAATCTAGGTCTCAGCCAGTTCAGACCACATCAGCATATCTTTAAAACTGGGATTTTTTTGTTCCAATGTGTACTGCACTTACACATTGACCTTCATTTGCAACATGGTTGCCCACTGACCCAATTTAGCAAGATCCTCTTGGCCTTTGTTTTCACCATCCTGAATAATTTTGTATTGTCTGCAAACTCAGCTACTACACTGCTCAACTCCATTTCCAAACTATTTATGGACAAATTAAATACACGAGTCCCAATACCAGTCCTTGTAGGACTCCAGTGCTCATTTCCCTCCAGTGCAAGAATTATTTATTTATATTTTTTATTTTCTTTAAACTTTTATACCACCCTCCCCGCAGAGTGGGCTCAGAGTGATGTAAAGCATTTTGCATCGAGAAACATGAAAAACAATCTACTAATTTAAATATACAAATAAAAGTCAGAAATCATAAAAATAGACACATGATATACAAGAAGCATAAAGTCTATATGGCCTCACAGTACAAATTTGTTCCGTCCGTTTGTTCCTGCTTCCTGGTATTTATCCACAAGAGGACCAGCCCTCTCATCCCATGATTGCCAAGCATACTCAGGCTAGGTGGCACTAACTACCACGGACGAATCTCAGGTGCTTCATTATTGCTATGATTATCAATATGTTGTTGCCACTGCAAAGAGAACTGTTAACACAATATATCTGGAATACTGCTCTTATGCTAGCAATACATCATGACTGAGTCCTCACATACTTCCTCTTGTATGTCACATGCTTTCTACATTACCATGTCAAGGGTTCCAAGCCCAGCAAATATAGTATTCATTTCTAAAGTTCTGACAATAGTGTGTTAAAACGTCTGTTGAACACTGAAACTTTTCCCTTGTGCACTCTGCTCGGCATCTTCACTTCTCTTCTGTGGAAATTATAACACTTGCTAAGAAGGTCAGCTGCCAATACAAAATATTCCACTGTTCACTTCTGCTCTCCTCCCCCTTCTTGCAGAACAGTAGAAGGCTGGCATTATCTGTTTGCATGGCAGTGAAAGTCTCAGAGTGATGTCTGGGTCACAACATTTGTGCATGTGGTCTGCCTAAGCACAGATCTTGCCTCTGCTCCCATTCCAAGGACTAGAATTTTGATTCACTTACTGCATCTTGAAATCCAAACAACACTAGATGAATCTGATTGATGGAAGTACTGTCAAAATCCAGATCAATTTTCAGCTTGGATATAGTGGACGCCATAACTCTGTGTTCAGGAGAACGTATGAAATCTCTCAGAATTCCTATTATTTGCTTGATGTGAGCAACTGAAAGATGCAGTTCTTCAGAACTCTGAAGAAAAAGTCAGAATACTGGAAATCAAGGTAATCAACAATTGGCAAATTTGAGTATATTTGCTTATTTGGCAACCAGAAACTCTCAGCTACAGCTTCTATCACAGCAATAAGTTAACAAATGTAATGGGAAAGAGGAATTAAATTAATGAAATTATGATGCTAGAACCATGTTTAAATAATTAAGGCACTACGTGTGGTATATCGATCACTTGGCAACACTGATTCTCTACTAATATAAGGGCAGTAGTATCACCAGAAGAAAGGGACCAAATGTATGAGGGAATCACGTGTTATGCTGATTAGGCTTATATTAATGTGGCATTTTAAGAACTATGTATCCTGTCACAATTTTGTGTATGTTGGTACACACATAGGGGAATCCCATTGCCTAGAATGCCATCCACAAGCCCTGGCTGGCAGAACACCAAAAGGCAATTCTGCAGATTCAAGGAAGAGGATGCTTAACATTCTGGAGGCTGATTTAAGATCTTTCTCTCTTCCTACCTCTCCCTCTGGGGAGAAGTATCAAACATGAGTGAAAAGTGGCTCCAGTTTTAATCCATGAAAATGAATATGCCATGCATCAAAAGTATGGGAAACACTCCTTCAGACTTTCATCTTCCTTGCTAAGTAATTTTCTAGAAATTACTTAGCAGGTGATGCAAAATGCTCTGTACACTGATGGTTTGGCAGTTTTCAAAGCAGGTACCTATTTGTTACAACCTGTCTGTTTACCAAGTTAAGAGATCAGACAGCTGTCTCATGCCCATGGAGGAAGCTCCCTCATCTCGCCGTAACTATCACTGAGGGACACCAACCTTAGCAATGTCTTATACTAAGCAGCATGACCAACCTCTTGGGAACAAGCAGAGTAACAACTGCATTCTCGTTCTTTCATCTGTTCATATTAACCAGGGTTCGCCTATTGTGGCACATCAAGGGCTAGTCAATCTATGATGACCTCTCATAAACTGGATGCTGTAATTGTGTCAGCTCTAGCCTCAGCAGTACTGGTGTAATTTGGTTGTATTCAGCCCTGCTGTCTCCATGATGGAGGCTTCATTTGCAGTTTTGCCAGTTCACAGTAAAGGCAGCAGAGGGCAGCTTTCCATCAGTCATGTGCAATGATCTGATGGCAAAGGGAGGGGAGGGAACTTTTTTTTTTTAAATTCTGAGGGTTTTTAATGCAAAAATGTAGAAATGTTGGGGAACACTGGGGAAAAACTTCTTATGAAATATTTTCTCTTTTGGAATGAGTGAAATGCTTTTTAAGACAAGTCATGTGTAGATTTTATGTAAAATAATCTACAGCTTTAGATAATAATCATTCCTGTAGAACAAAGTTTTGCGTTCAGTGGCACCTTTAAGACCAACAAAATTTTATTCAAGGTATGAGCTTTCGTGTGCAAGCACACTTCTTCAGATATAATGAAATGGAAATAGAAATAACAGTCATACAAACAGAAGGTAGGTAGTAAATTAGCATACAGAATAATGAAGGTGTTTTTAACAGATTAAAAGAATAATAAGCTTTGTATATATGGCTATGATCTTTTTGGGTTCAACTGGGGGGGGGAAACATAGCATAGGTAATAAATGTGTCAGAACTGGAGATTGATATATCCTTAACTGTGGAATGGTGAGAGTCTATCTTCTCTCAAGCATCGAGTTTCTCAGTCTTGTGATTCCTGATGAAACAGTTCAATGCATCATGAGTGACTTGCAACCTCTACTGGACAACGACAACTCTTTTTCACAAGCACTGGGGGGGGGGAACCTTTTCTTGTGCCTCATATCCATGTCCCCAGTCTCAAACACCTCCTCACCAACAATAATGAAACATCTAATTCAAACATGGACACTGGCACCAGAGCTTGAAATAAACCTAGACGCCAACCCAGACAACACAATCACTGGACCTAACAACATCAACTACACAATCAGAGGCTCATTCACTTGCTCATCTTCTAACATTGTATATGCCATTAAATGCTAACAATGCCCTTCGGTTCTCTACATAGAGCAAACAGAACAAACCCTACACGAACAACCTACACGAAAGGATAAATGGACACAAATCTGACATCAGGAATCACAAGACTGAGAAACTTGTAAGAGGACACTTCAATTTTCCAGGACATTCAATGGGTGACCTCGAAGGGCCAGTGGCTACGGATCAGAAGATTCAATGGGTGACCTCAAAGTAGCTGTTTTATTGCAAAGGAACTTCAGGAACAGAATAGAAAGGGAAACTACTGAATTACAATTTATTAAAACGCTTGGAACAAAAAGAACCCCAGGACTCAACAGGGATATTGTTTTTTTATCTCACTACGTATGCTAAAATCAGTACTTACATACGTATTCTCACCAAGAAGTGCAATACATCCTCTGTATTTTAAAATATTTCTTTTTTGGAATAGTATATTGGAATAGTGATTGTAATATAATATAATGAATATGGAAATGTATTTCTCTGACATAACACTGCACTTCACCTCTAAGAAAAGGATTCTGTTAGTTAACCCCATGCTAGAGAGGAAAAGAATGGAATGTAGCAACAGAGTCTCAGGCTGATTTCCCACAAGCGCTGCTCCGCGCTCGCTCTTCCCTTTTGCCCCGATGGTACGTGTCAATTTCACACAAGCTGCTGCGTGGCCGCATTTTGCCCCGCAGCTTTGCGTGATTTCCCCTGCGTCTACTCAATCCTGTTTTTTGAGGATTGAGTAGACGTGGGGGAAATCGCAGGAAGCTGCGGGGCAAAATGGGGCCACACAGCAGCTTGTGTGAAATTGACACGTACCATCGGGGCAAAAGGGAAGAGCGAGCGTGGAGCAGCGCTTGTGGGAAATCAGCCTCAGTTTATTACTCTTAACAATTAAGAATGTAATTAAGTATGTAATGTAATTTGGAATGGTAGATTTAAATGTATTTCTCTAGTTTGAGGACAAGGAAAATAACTACACAGTCAATTGCCCCACTTCAAAGAAAAAGATGCTGCAAGGTCGCCTCCATGCTTGAGAGGAGACAGACTCTCGCCATTCCACAATTTTTTTCTACAAAATCTCTATTTTCAGCCTTTATTTTTCCTGCTTTTCAAGATACATCCAATACCTTAGTAAGTGTATTTGCAATGTTGCTTAGAGAAAGTTTAAGAAATTTATACCTTTACATTTAATAAATATGCCAAATAGTACAACTTATCATTGATATATTTTATGCTGTAAAAGCAGTAATATTTTGGTAAAAACACTACATATGAGTATAGGGTTGATAAAGTAAGACTTCCATATATTTCCCCCAAATTCCGTTTTTAAGGAAAAAGTGGAAAAAATTGTTTCAGTCTTTCCAATAATTTTACATCTTTAGGCATATCACAAGTATTTTGATTCATGGATTAAATTGCTTTGCAAGAAAGCCTGGAGAACTTGAGCGGAATTCCACATTACAGTGGATCAAAGTCAAAGTGTGAGTTTGAAACAAACATTTGGATACATTTAATTTTCTTTGATGTAGACTGAGCTGCTAAAGATGCTTTTGCATACAGAAGCAATACAGATTTATACTGTGGTCTCTCTGGTATATTGAAGTCAAAAACAAGGTAGCGACAACAGAAATACAGAGGGAGTGATTTAACAGCTATTTGCACTTGTTTGGCATATTCTGTTCCCCAAACAATAAAAAATAAGGTTACATGCAATCAAATATAATTATTTACAATATGATGATAGGCCACAATATTTCAAGATATGTGATTACATCATTACTGTGTGCTATAGAATACTGGGTTTCTATTTTCTCAAGGGGAGGTATAATAATATTCGACACAGCTTTTTTTTGTGGGGGGGGAGGTTATACTTTAACTGTTAAGGCAGTGTTCTAAAAGCCCAAGACCAGAATCAAAAGGCAGTGTGCTTATGAGTGAACTTCATGTGCAATCTGGGCTTTGAGTGTATCAACCGCCCACAAAAAAACAAGCTGCTGATTTCATCTGTGATTCTGGCAAGAATGAAAACACACCTTATACACCATCTCCCAAAATCAGGATAAAGGATCGTGTCCTCTTTTCTTTATGTTCAGGTGCCTCACTATGTCATATACAGGGTATGTTTTAAGTTTTTTGTTTGTAAAGGAAAATGCATCCATTTCTATAATTCTACCTTTTTTCCTAAAAGAAGAAACTACCCTCCAAGTGTTACTACCTGTGCCACACACTCTTGTAAATTGGAAGCAACTTGATCCTGTTCCTCCTTCAGGATTTTATAGAGAATTGCACGTCGTTCGCTGTCTTTCCGTAATAAGAAAAGACCAGAATCCTTTTCTTCAAGGGAAGGGGAAGTACTTCTTTCATCTGAAACTGAGCTCTCATCAGGAACACTAGACCAGAAAATGACAACAGGATTGTTCATTACAAAGAATCAAGTTGGGGTCAACATATATATGAATGCTAACCCCAACTAAAGTGATTTCTGAATTGCTGCAAGTGATGGACTAGAGCACATACCGTGTCTAACACCCATAATCTGCTCCCTCCCCCCATGAGGCATCTCTGAATTAAGCACAATGAAACGGTCCTGGCTGTTGGAGGTGACAGGCCCAGACATCTTATCCCAAGAGATATCCCACTGCAGGGGGCCAAGACTGTGTTTGCTATGGAGCTCAGCAGATTTCAAGAAATCGGCGCCTCTCTGCTGTGGTGGTGCTAAGTACAAACCAGTGTTCCATCTTCATAGTCATGGCACTTAGCCATGGATGTCTGAGGTGCAGGAGCATTCCAGTGCTCTCACTTTTCTCCCTGTAATTCCTGAAGTATGGAAGGACTGTTGGAGAAGTGATGGCCTGCAAAAACTCTAGTTAATGCAAATATGGCTGAAAGAGTAGTTTAGTCTGGGGGGAGCTGTGGCGCATTCTCTAGTGTTCAGAGTTTATTTAATGTTTTCTCTTACAGTTTAGCCTGCCTCTTGTGGGTTTTCTTTCTGCTATGTGTAAGTATGCGTTAGTGGTTGTACTCTGAAGGCCTCTCTGTTGTATTAGTGGCCTGCAATCAGTTATTGTCTTTCTGCAAAAATCCTGTGGCAGTAAAATCATTGGAAGCAAACTCCAAAGAGTGAGATTGGATTATTTCTCAAACTCTGACAACAAGGACAAACTGTGGTGCTCCTAGAGGGGCAAGAAGAGTACTTGCTATTGCCTTCCCCACAGGAGGCAGGTGGAGCTCTAGGAAACTGCAATGAGCATGAAGGGAAAGGAGAGCTCCTTCCTCATCCGCCCCAAGTAGAAGTCTCAAGCCTTCCTATAGCACTGGGCCCACTTGAAATCTCAAGCCCCTGGGAAGGGAGATAGTGAGACCAAACAGGTTTTGTTGTGCTGTTGCTTAGGGCCTCTTTGCTCAACCCCCACAATTCCATGACACTCATTGAAATGAATCTAAGTACAAACCTCACACAACTCAGTCCTGCCACACATTTTGGCCCATGGCCTGGTATTTCACAGGGCAGAGCCTGGTCATGTGATGGGTGGTGCCTGGTGGTGCCCACTTATCTCTCAACAAGGACCATTCCAGCCTATGTTCGAGTTGTGAACTACTGGACTAGAGCTTGGCTCATATAACTGAACGACCATCATTAAACCCTCCCCTTTAAACCAGCCAAGGATGCAAACTTGTGTGTAACCTAAACACAAAGCTCAACAATTACAACAACATAGAATGCTCTTAACGTGGAACACTCCAATTTAGAGTGAACATGCTTCCTATTTTTTCTTGAAAGCCCGGATTTTCTCTAGTAGACATTTAGAAGAAGAAGAGTTCGATTTATACTGTGCTCTTCACTCAGCGTCTCAGAGGCTTACAATCTCCTTTTCTTCCTCTCTCAACAGACACCTTCTGAGGTAGGTGAGGCTGAGAGAACTGCTCTTGAGAGAACAGCTCTGACACAACTATGGCTTGCCCAAGGTCATCCAGCAGCTGCAAGTGGAGGAGTGGGGAATCAAACCCGGTTCTCCCAGATTAGAGCCCGCCGCTCTTAAACACTACACCAAACTGGCTCTCATTTACAATTACAATTTTCTCTTCCTGTAGAGACCTAAATAAAGCCCATTTAAAGCTGATACTTAATATCAACTAATATAGTTACTCTGAGGCTTTCAGAACAAAGTTTGAGTCCAGTGGCACCTTTAAGACCAACAAAGTAGGCTTTCAGTATGTTAACTTTGTAAACTATTCATCGTAAATCCATTTGGATTTTGTGTGAATTCCAAAGCCACTTTCATACCACGCAGGCTTTACCTTAGTAAATGGGAAACGGGATGTTTTGCTGGGATCTCTGACAAAGAGCGCTTTGTTCTTTCAAAGAACATGTCATGTTGCGCATCAGAATCTGGTGAGATTGAGCCATGTTCACTGCTGCTGCTGCCAGCCTGTTCCCCGTGGACTGGCAGAGGAAGTGATGTACTGCGATTATAATCTGGAGCAAAAGAGTGCAGACAGGAATACAACAACTTCACCTATCTTTTAAGTAAATAAAGTGACTATAAATAAAATGTAATAAAACTAAGAAACAAAATGAAACTGAACAAATCGCCATTGCCAAGCCACAGAAATAATATATGCTGCTTGATGTGAAACCAATACTGGTGCTGGAAGAGACTGGTGATTAGGACCCCCTTGCACACATTACTCATGGTTCAAGGGGCTGTTAGCAGCTGAGAAAACTACAACAACTGCAGCAAGCCCCCTCCTTTTGTAACCTTACGTTTAACACTGTGAACACTATAATTGTGTGCAGGGGTCATTTCGGGGGGATCGCGGGGGATCGCAGTTCCTCCGGGTGAGGTGCGGGGGCGGGGCACACGACGAAGCCCCGCCCCCTGCTTCCGGTCGGGGTAAAATGGCGATTTGACGCACCCTGTAAGTGCTCAGGGTGGACGGGTGTTCCTTACAGCAGTTTGGACTGTATTTTGGTCCAACACGGCTTCCCCCAGGCAGGGGGAATGACTGGCAGGCATCAAGACCCAAGAGAGAGCTGAGATTGGTGTGATCAAGTCTTGGAGGAGGCTTGTATTACACTTTGATCCCCTCTCCCGAAGCGGGTGAGCGCATTCAGGGGGTGTGGCCTCATGACATACTTCCGGTGATGTCAGGGGTGTGGCATATGCTAATGAGTTCCCCTAGCTCTTTTTCTACGAAACGACCCCTGATTGTGTGACGGTTCATTCTCTTGGTGAAACAAAATCAGCACTTGCAGGAAAGTTCCCAGCGGTTGAATCTTTCTGGTTTTGTCCTGCTATACAACCCCCATGAGGAACATGAATAGATGCCTACATCACTTTAGTGTTTCTCCAAAAACCATTTTTTCCAGTTAAAAAGTTACTTTGGAAAATCTTCATCTGGTTTTTAAACAACAAGAATGTTCTTTGAAATAGATATTAATAAGCTGTCCAGTTAGTTATTTTCAATTTTTTGTGACTGACTGTACTTTTTAAGAGACTTGAAAGTGCTGTGCATAAAACTAAAGGACTGTGAAGGGTTAATTCTTCACAGAGCCAGATAACCTTGAGTGACAGGCTGATCCAGGCAATCTGATTGGTTGGCAGCAGCTGAGTAGAAAAAGTCTTGTGAGAGCTGTATGCTAAGGATATTCAGTCATATTCCTGCTTTAACTGAGAAGAGACAGGTACTGAGACTGTCTGAGACTAGCACTGACAGAGTCGTATTTCAACCTTGACTGAACATAGTCTGAATTCAGCATTGACTGAGAGCAGTTTGAACACAGACAGAGAAAGTTTGGCAAGGATGTTTGGTAGTAGATGAAGACTCCCATTCAGGCCAAAGGAAAGGGGATAGATCTTCTAGAGAGAAGAAGAATATTCTCCACCCATTCAAACAGAGAGAGTTATCTCTATGGAGTAAAGAGATCCTTGATCCAGTGTGATTAGAAACTGCCTGTAGAGACCTTAAGAGTCAGTCAAAAATTCAAGAAGAATATTGGTGTTCCAAAGAAGAAGAAGAGAAGAGGAGAGATTGGATTTATACCCCGGCCTTCACTACCCAAGGGAGTCTCAGAGCGGCTTACAAACTCCTTTCCCTTCCCCTCCTCACAACAGACATCCTGTGAGATAGGTGGGACTGAGAGAGCTCTGAGAGAAACTGCTCTTTCTCAAGAACAGCTGTGCCAGAGCTTGTGACTTACCCAAGGTCACATCAGCAGGTGCAAGTGGAGGAGTGGGGAATCAAACCCAGTTCTCCCAGATTAGAGTCTGCACACTTAACCACTGCACCAAACTGGCTCAAAGAGAAGGGGGTTGGGTATTGGGAAGAGGATACCAGCCTTCTGGGCACCAAAAAGTGTCAGCGATTACTCAAATGAAGTGTACTATAGTGTTTGAGGAAACACTACAAAAGCTTCTCAATATAAAGAACAAACGTCTCTGCATATATTGTTTTTACCTCAGCGATTACAACACATGTTTTCACCTGACCTTTTCCCCTTGATGTTAAATAAAAACTTTTGTAATTTTTGAATTTTAAAAAGTCTCAACTACCATTTTCACTGGTACTTCCCTCAGGTTCCTAGGCTGAGCAAATAGCCAAAATATATCTTTCAGACAGGGAGGGGCAGCTAAAGTTTCTTCAGGGGAGAGGAAAACATGTTACCAGGACTATTCAGTCAGTGAGGGGACACAAAAATGGCAGGAAAATCGAGCCTCTGATGGAGGGAAGTGGAAGGGGAGCATTATAGTTACCTTAAAATTAGGCTGAATATGTACAATAAAAGATACTTTTCACTCTTCAACTTTCGGCATGCCCAAGATCTTGAGGAATAATTACTCAAATCCCTGGTTATGCCACAGATACCGTGGATACCAATCCCTTACCTGAGGGCTTGAATGCAATTCTGTTTTTCTTGCCCTTGTTCATCTGTTTCAAGAAACTATCTTTAAGTAAGTCAGATGCTGTTACACGTTTGTTTGGATCGGGTTCAAAGCAGAGCAAAATAAAGGCCCGTGCTTCAGCAGACAGCGATTCAGGGATTTCAGGGTGAATCTTGAACATTCCAACCTGCAAGTATCAGAAGAATAGTTCGTATCATTTATACTGGGAAAGTTGTTAGCATTGTATTAGTTCTTGTATGCTTGTCAATAATCCTTTAATGGTTGACATTTGACCAAAGGTCTCAAGTCAGGCTTCAGTTATTATTCCTAAATTAGCCCAGTCGTTAAAAAGTACACCTTTTCCTTCAACATAATCACTGCCAAGAATAATTTTGCTATGGCTTAAGTAATCCTTGGATCCTCATCCTTTAATAAAAATGGTACTCAGTTCTATCAACAGACATTGAGTTCCTTAGGACTGGATCCAACCATTTCACTCTATATAAATCATACCATGAACAATCCAAGATCATTTAATCCAACTTTTCAAGCTTTCTCTCTTCACATCCACTGTATCTGTCCTGGAATGCAGAACTGCTGATGGGGGCACATTCACTCTAGCTTTAAAAAAAAGTTTGAATATAGGTGGGGATTGTTAAAAATTTCAAAAAAGGCTGGCAGGCCAGAGGGAGGGTCAGAGGCCAAATGAGGATAATGAGCAAACCCTGCACACTCTAAAATAAGTACTTATCCTACTATCACTTAGCTACTATTCTCTTTTTCAAAAGAGAAATTGCTGCAACTTTGCCTAACTCCTGCAGAGTTTCCATTTCTATTCCTAGCATCCTTGTTTTTTCATCAATAAGATAGAGCCATCTGTTCCCATAATGATCTTGCTTTACTCTGGCTAACAGCACAAAACCATCTGTAGAAAAGAGAACTTTCATTCTCATATTCATACACTGGAGTCAGGCATGTGCCTCCAGCGATCTCTGTGTAAGCTCTTCCCTCAGAGCAGTTCTAGAAACGCAGTTTGGAACCCCCAGAATCCTTTTCTCAAAGTGGATTAGAAGTTGATCAATTTTCTGATGCACTTCTTCAATCCATTTCTGCCTCATAAGTTACTTGCGGAATTACTTTAGCCTGTAATATGGCCAATGGAGAAGGGACATAGCATCCCCCCTCCTTATAACAAAATCTTGAGATAGCATTAGCTTTCATTCTGGCCTTCTCTGGCACTGATGTCCAATGGGATTTCCACCTTAAACTATAACTAAAGAGGATCCCTAGGTATTTAAACTGTTGTACCTACTCCAGAGTCTGACCATCCACTGATCAATTAACTTTATTAGAGCATCCTTGATGGGTGAAAATCTTTACCTTTGATTTATCATAATTAATTATTAATTCTTCCATCTTTACAGAATTTTGAAAAAGATCTTTAACCTTGGAGTAAGCCAATTTCTGTTTGAAAAAGCAGAATGGCATCATCTGCATATAGAAAGCAGGAATGTGACCTCCTTATTGGCTAGTATGGGGGAATGGTAACTCTGATCTCTGAAGTCACTTGGAAAGTTATTAATGTAAAGACTGAATAATGTTGGTGCTAGCACTGGACCTTGCATAAACCTATTGGATAGGTTACCATGACACCCACACCTCACTCTCATATAAATACTACTACGAAGTTTTTTCATTAACCTTAGCCTGCAGCTAAGAGAGGACTTCTCCAACTCATCCCACAGTCTCTCTCATGAGACAGAATCACAGGCACTACATAGATCCATGAATGCTGTATTTAGGTATCCTCCTCTTATGGATATATATTTCTCAACCAGAAAGCACAACACTAACCCATGGTCTGTGATTATTAAGCCTATTTCAAATCCTGCCTGGTCCTGAATAATAATTTGTTTGTTCTTCACCCATTCCTGTAACCTAACACTCAAATAAGCGTTTTAGAGACTACTGATAGTAAACAGATCAGTCTATAATTTTATTAGTTCATATCTTGAACCCCCATATCAAAAACAGACTTCTTCCATTTCGCTGGGAACTTACCAGTTTCATTGATTTTTGTAAATAACGGGGCTAAAATTATAGCCCATCACTTTCAGCAATTCTATTATGATCATATCGGGGCCGGTAGCTTTCCCTGATTTTCTCATTTTAATTAAGGCACGTATCTCTTGTGTAGTTACAGATTGCCAGGTTTCCAATTCTCCTTCAGCTTCTGTGCCTCTTTCTATACTATTTCTTGTTCCATACAGATTCCTGTAGAATTTTTCCTAAATGGAAAAGCTGACATAGGCGCTAGAATTTACTAGGCTCCAGAATATACAATTATCATTATTATTACAGGCTGAGATTTCTTTCCATTTTCTCATCAACATCTCCCATTTCTTGAATTTTATCACTGCTTTATACTTCTTACAAAACCTGAGCTTCTCCAAAATCCTTCTTGAGTTGGTTAGTAAAAAACAACAACATAACTGTTATGTATTGAGCCTGAACTGTCCTTGCAAAATGACTGAGCTTGGGATACATAACAATAGATTGCTAGGATCCTAGAATGGACCAGTAGGGAGACAGGGATCCTAGAGTAAACCAATTGGGAAACAATAGAGTGTAAATATCCTATCGTTGGGAGTGGGGTGTTTTTGGGTGCAACCCTTTTCAGGCATAAATACCAGGCTTTGGGCCAGGGATTGTAGTCTTCTTTCTCTTGTTGAATCATTAATAAACTATGAGCTGATCACTTCTACACGTCTGAACCCAGTATATTTCAATAACGTTCTTATCTTTCTAACTCACCATCTACATTCAGGTTCAAACCATCCATTTTTTCTTTGTTTAAAACCCATGGTTATCTTCTTCTGGATAACTGGGCAAAACAGCTCAGTTATTAGTTCATATTTGTTCAAGATTCCTTTCATCTCTTTTTCCATAAGGAATTCCCTGACCAATTCCCCATCTCCCTCACCTCGCATAATCTGCTGAGTTTTAGCCCCCAGTTCTTCTGACCACCACACTGGTTTTAGTTTGATTTAAAACAAAGGGAACCTAGTCTAGGTCCCCTTTGTTTTAAATCCATATCCCAAGGTCTATTATTGTTGGATGTTCATTCACAACTTAAAACCAATTGGGAAATGGTTACCTCCATTATATTGTCCAACCTCAAAGGATATTATTTGTCGAACAAGATTTGGAGAAACCAAGACAAAACTTATACCACTTGTTCCCTTGCCAGTCACACAAATAAAATCTCCTTTAATAAGACCATTCAAAATTATCATTCCAGAATAAGAAACAAAGCATATTAAAATTTTCTCTGCCTTGCTTATTTCATTGTCTCTTGCGCTCTTGCTAACCATTATGTTATCTGCCAAATCACTTTGTGCATTAGTAGGAGTTCCCTTTAGTAGGAGTTCAGTTTTGGGGTAGTTATATACAAGGGGTGTGGTGACTCAGAGATTAAGATGCTGAGCTGCAGACCGGAAGGTCTGTAATTCGGCAGTTCAAGACCCTAGTGCGTGTGATGGAGTGAGCTCCTGTCTCTGGCCCCAGCTCCTGACAACCTAGCAGTTCGAAAGCAAGAAATTGCAAGTAGATAGATAGGTACCGCTTTGGTGGGAAGGTAACAGTGTTCCATGCACCTCGGCGTTCAGTCATGCCGGCCACATGACCATGGAAATGTCTTCAGACAGCGCTGGCTCTTCAGCTTGGAAATGGGGATGAGTACCACCCCCTGGAGTCGGATCTGACTAGCTTTCGAGCAAAGGAAACCTTTACTTATATACAACATTCAAAAATATATCCTCTAAGCTCTTCCAGTTGAGAAGTTCGTCTAGTTTACTAGACAGTGGTAAATAAATATTAATTACGCTTAGCTGGGCAGTGCTTGTTGATAGTAAATAAACAACAAACTACAGAGTTATGTTGAAGCATAAGCATATATATTTTGCATGGCATATTATTGTAAGCAATAATGTTTACTATTTATATAGTATTTTCTGGGTACTGTACTGTACAGAGGAGAACTGAGAGACTGTGGTTTACCTAAAAAGTTAATCACTTAGAGTGTGTGTGTGTATGTGTATATTCCATTCAGTTATATCAAGATAATATAACCCCTTCTCTTAACAACTATGTTACACTAGCTCTATGTGTTATATTTGCTGCGGCAAACTTTGTATTAATGATCATAAAGTGAAAGCCAGGAGATGAAGTGTTGAATTAATCTTTACTTTAATACCCCTGAAATCAATATGGCTGTTCACCTAGGTTAAAATTCTTGGATGAAATTCCCTGGAACTGCTTTTCTCAGTACACCTACTCACAGAACACTTTTGTTTCTGCTAGCATTACACTAGCTCATTATTACTAGCTCATCCAGTTGCCACATCCAAGTCCAACCATTATGGCCTCTGGAGTCGCTCAAAGTCTCCAACACTATCTACAACAACATAAAATCTGCCCTGCTGGATCAAACCAAATGCTATGTAGTTCAGCACTTTGTCTCCAGCAGTCGCCACAGCCATGGAAATGACCCAGAGGGCAAGAAGGACATAATCTTCCATAGTTGAAGATGAAGTCCTGAACACGAACCTCCTATTTTAGTCATCACAACTAAAAACTGTCAACAATTGTCACAAGTTTATTTTGCATCTTCTTGATACCTGTAGAATCAGTAGAAGCGCAACTCTATGGGTTGCTATATCTTAACAGATGGTTACACAATCCATCCACCTTGCGTATCAATGAGAAAGGAAGATTATAAAGTAAGTAAACTAACTAACAAACAAATAACACTGTATGGGTGCCTGATACACAAAAGCTTTCAGTATCTAAGCTTTCAGTCACTACACATTTGCAGTAGTGACAGCTACTGAATAAAATGACCTTAGGTTCCAATGCAGTTGTGAGGGCTGAGTCTCCAAAACTGAAATGGGACAACTTAATTCAGCAAGTATCTTTCCCATTACATTACAAAATTGTGGTGACATTCTACACTTCTTTAGATGTATGTTGCATTTGGACTTCAGCTTTACTTGGCTGGTTTGCAAGCCTCTATTTTACTTTGACAGGTATATTAAGAATGTATTAAATCGCACTTACATAATCCGATTATAATTTTTAATTATAACTAAGCACTTTACAGTGCCTGACCTTTTTTGGTCTGACTGC